GGTCGACGGTGTATCGCGTCCCGACCCGGCAGGCTGGTTCTGGTCCAGCGGGGTATTCCGGGACACCAGCGGCACCGTCTGGGCGGCCCGACGGGCTGCCGTACCGAGACGGCCGACGTTTCAGAGCCTTCGATTCGCCTCGAAGGCTCCGTCGGCTGGGCGTCCTTGGGGTGAGCCGCGCCGTCTGGTTGTAGTGTTGACCGCGGTAGCCCCCCTACCTCATCCGGGTTCTGACCTCGGGGGGGATCGGACGTCGGGTGTAAGAGTGCAGGGGAGTCGTTTAGTGGGTGGGCTCTAAAATCCTTGGGCCCGCGGTCTGCTCACAACACCATGCAGATCGTTGAGTCTCACATACCCCGCGCGCCCCTTTTGCGCGGGGACCTCGTAGGAGGTTCGGCCTTCTACCCGAAAAAAAAAAAAAAAAAAAAAAAGGGTGGTGGTACCTACCCGCGCGGACTCACAAGAGGTCCTACCACCAGTAAAAGTACAATTTTATAGATTTTTTTTTGGGTTTAGCATAGTCGTAATTAGAATTAATTTAAGTAAGGTTTAATTTTGCGTTTTCTATAAACATTATATCGACGGGTGAAATCACTATTTGGCTTAAGCGACATTTTTGCAACATTACAGGGGAGCAATTTAGAGTTTAAAATTTGGAAAAGAATGTTATGACAAAAAAAAGCTTCTTTTGCATTTGAATGTGGTAAATGTAATTGAAGTTCAATTAAATTATTTTTATTGCTTAGATGGCTGGACGAGCTCACAGCCCAACTGATGTTAAGTGGTTACTGGAGCCCATAGACATCCACAACGTAAATGCGCCACCCACCTTGAGATATAAGTTCTAAGGCTAAGGTCTCACGTATAGTTGCAACGGCTGCCCCACCCTTCAAACCGAAACGCATTACTGCTTCACGGCGGAAATATTTTGTTTCGTGTATAATATCTTGAAAGGATGAATTAAATCTAATTTAAGTTAAAAACTAATAAAATTGATTTAATATACTTTCGAAATGTCAAACATTGGACCGTTCAAAAATAAATGGTCGTATAAGAGAGCCCAATAATGATCGCTAGGCGCTTAAAAATACAGCATAATTTGCCACGAACTGATGTGTACATGAGATAGTTCGGTTCACGGCGAATTGCAATATTAAAACTTTCACGATAAATTGTCTCGAAAATGAAATGCGTAATTAAAAAATAATAATAAGAAAAGTGTTGAGCTAAATTAGAAATAGCTTTGTTTTTTTTGTGAGCACGCTAAAATTCTAAAGGCATCTCTCTCTCTCATTAGAAATGGTAAAATGGATGTAAGTGATTGTTATGGGTTGGGGCGGTGCAAGGTGGCTCCTGTGTGCCGCCCACGGTGTATCTCCCGAAATGACGTCTTTCGGGATTTTCCCGGAGATGAAATCCCGTCTTATCATCAGGACGGGTACCGGCGAAGGCGGACTTTCGGCGCGCACTGCGGTACCGTAGGTCTGGTGTAGCCAGTGTGGTGGAGCTCGATGGGGCTTAGTCGGTAGTCGTTCTGCGGGGCAAGTGCTTCGCGCGCCTTTTTCAAGGCGTAGTCTCTTGCGAGGAATTCGGGGAGGTGGAGGACCTTGGCCCTCCTCGTCCCCCTCTTCCTCTCTGGAGGCGCCGGAGTCCGATATAACCCGGTTTGTTATCCCCCGGACCGGGTATCCGTAAATGGATTCCCCAGCGTTAAAAAAAAAAAAAAAGGTCTTATAGGCAGGAACGGAAGACGCGAAGTTGTGTGAATTGTTTTATTTCTTTAATTTACGATCAACAAAAAAAGAGTTTAACTGCTGGAACATGCTTTAAGTCTTTTTTCTCGCACCTATTTGTTTTTTTATTTGATTGCTTAGATGTGTGGACGACCTCACGGCCCACCTGATGTGAAGTGGTTAGCGGAGTCCATAGACATCTACAACGTAAATGCAGCCGCATATTTTGAGATACGAGTTCTAAAGGTTCAGCACAGCACAACACAACGACTGCCCCACCCTTCAAACCGAAACGCATTGCTGCTTCACGGCAGAAATAGAAAGGGCGGTGGTAACCTACCCGTGCGGACTCACAAGACGTCCTACCACCAGTAGATACGATTGACAATTACCAATAACTTATATCCTAGTAACTAATATCCCGAAAAAGAACACAAGGGTAATAAAATATAGAAAGTCGTTTTAATTTATGCTTACTATTTTTTTTATATATATTTTTAAATACACTACATACTGTTGTAAGTTTTCTAATTTCTTCAATTCCAATAAATCGTTCAGAAGCTTTAAGCATTCGAAAGAACTACCACCAGTAATAGCTTAAGAGGCCCTTACAGCTATGTCCGGACGGGTAGGCGAGCTCACGGGCTCAACTTGAGAGAATTTGCTTATACTAGCCCTAGCAAGAGCAGTGCTTCGGTGAACCTACCAACGGATCGGAATCGCGACCCACTGAGAAGATCCGGTCAGAAACTCAATGGGTGAAAAGTACAATAAAACCTATTCGATTTTAGTTGCTCGAAGTGTACAAAAGCAAATGTACACTGCAGTACTTTGTGTTGATCGTTAAATTTCGAAATTAATATACTAAAGCAGACGAACTAACAGCGCAAAAGGTTTATCTATATATTAATACGTGAAGCAAAAACTTTGTACCCCTTTTTACGAAAATTGCGCGGATGGAGGAGTATGAAATTTTCCACACTTATAGAGAATATAGAGAAGAAGTGCACAATGCTAATATTTTTTTTTAAATAAAGCATAAAAGATACATTAAATCAATAAAGAAAATATTACACACTCTACATACCATGTATTTGACGCACACACGCATGCATACTATTTATTGTCAAACTTTTGTTCTTGACGTCTGTTGTCAAATTGAGAATAGATTAAATATTGTTTGTCTTTGTTAATATTTTTTATAGTGTAGCCTTGGCGAAATTTGTGATTATAGAAGTATAAAATACAATCATAATAGTGTACAAACTTACAATGCCAATTAATTATAGTCGAATTTCGACTACTGCGGGGCCACTAGTTTTTATAAAAGTGTGTAATTTTGTTGGACGAACAACTAATTGTGTTTTAGTTAAACAGATAAAAACAGTCAAGGTTTTTTTGCCTTAAAAAATTGAATGTTACCTACCCTACGCATACCAGATAAGGTATAGTGTAAATATTGGAGATGAGTGTTGGGAAACAAAAGAATTAGTTTGGATCCAAATGAATCCGAATGATTTGGTTTTTTTTTTTATGAATAAATAGTGTGATGTGGTGATAATAATAGTGTGTGATTTACCATCGCACCGCCCGCCACCGGAGTAGAGTTTATCCATACTACCTGGAGCCACTGCGGTCATCCACAGTGCGTTTCCAGAGGTCTTTTTTGCCACGTACCATCCGGCTATGAAATGAGCTCTCCTACACGATGTTTCCCGAGCGCTATGACATGTCCTTCAAACGAGGCTTGTGGAGAGTATTAAGCGGTAGGCAGCGGCTTGGCTCTGCCCCTGGCATTGCTGAAGTCCATTGGCGACGGTAACCACTCACCATCAGGTGAGCCGTTTGCTCGTCTGCCTACTAGGGCAATAAAAAAAAAGTGGATTGATTTTTTTTTCAAATCCACTTGCAGGATGTATTTGCGATTTTCGCGTGTCCTAGACATAATTGAAGATGCTTTTCAGCAGTTCAATTCGAATAACAGACGTGAGAAATTAAAATCAATAAAAATTGTCGTAATTGTTTTTTTTTTATCAATAAACCAAATAATTAAATCTGTTCTTTCGAATATTTAAAGATTCTGAACATTTTATTAGAATTGAAGAAATTAGATATCTTACATTTGCGGCAGCAGATAATGTATTTAAAAAATATATACATATATAAAAAATAGTAAGCACAAATTAAAACAACTTTATGACCCTTGTGTTCTTTTTTAGTTATTAGGATATAAGTTATTGAACATCGTTCCTTACTTCGTGTGATAATTGTCAAATGTATTTATTGGTGGTAGGACGTCTTGTGAGTCCGCATGGGTAGAGGCACCACCACCCCGTCTGTTTCTGCCGTGAAGCAGTAACGCGTTTCGGTTTGAAAGGTGGTGCGGCCGTTGTAACTATACTGAGACCTTAGAACTCATGTCTCAAGCTGGGTAGAGGTCTCTACGTTATTGATGAGCGCCGGTAACCATTAATCACGTGGGCGTGACCTCCGTATCCGCCGATTTAAACAATAAAAAAGTCAAGGCGTAATAAAAGCGTTTTAATAAATAAGCGAAAGTTTGTTGCTTTTTGCTAGGGTCATCGCTGTTATAGTCAAAGTGAGCCAGTGAGAATGAGATGCTTCAACTACGCATTGAGATGCCCGCCCATATTTACCAATCTAACGACGAATTTTGCGTCAAACCCGGTTCGCTTTGCCCGGCCGATCCTTGATTAAGCTGTGATCCGTTCGCTATCATACCGCATCGGATCACCCGCCGGGTCCGTCTGAAGACATCCAGAAAAATTCATTAAAATCGGTCCAGTCGTTTCAGAGTCTGTATCGAACATACATCCAATGAAAATATTTCTTTTAAACGATCTAATTCCGTCTCATCTCTAATGACTCAATCGTTTTCACATCACTAGTTGCTAGCTAATCCTAAATAAACTGTTCTAATAGACGGTAAACATGGGCCTACAAGGCTGTTTTAGACGCTAAACAAATAAAGTGTAAGCCTTGCTTATAACGAATATTTGATAGCAAAAATAATTTTACGCAATTAACTTTTCATTGCTTTATCTCTGATCTGAGCGGTTGATAGAGCTCACACGGTGTTAAGTGGTTATCAGAGTCTATAGACAGTCCGTCGGCTCAGTTTTCCTATTTCGTCCGCCAGGGGGCGCGTTGTAGATTTTCACAGAGCCGACAGATGGGGTGGATTAAGGGTAGAGGGATACTGAGTCGGTTTCCTAACGCCTAGTAAATTTGTTCTTTCGTTCACAGATCAAATTGGAATCGGTCTTGGGACTAACGGTGAGCAGTAATGCGGCTCTGGACTGCGATCCGAACACGGAACTCGTGGCGTACCCGGCCGGGTAAGTGGAATGAACTTAATAAACAATCTGGCACAAGACACGTCCGGTCATCTGTGGGCTTAGTAAGAGTTTTTTTAACTTCTTAGTTGGAGAAGTCTCGTATGTCTCTCTAACTCCATACAAATTAGAGCTAACTTTTACGCGATGGAGAAGTTAAAAAAATCACACTAAGCACACGGGTCCCAATTTAGGATTCCTTGTGTCATGGGCGCCAGAGTTTGACATACATACCTACTTATATACGTTCAAATCTAATCATGTTGTATGAATAAAACGGTCCGTCCTCTTTGACGAGTGAATTAACCCATAGACACAGCTCACTGAGTTTCTCGCCGAATCTTCCCAGTGAGTCGCGTTTCCGATCCTGTGGTAGATTCTACGAAGCACTGTTCTTGCTAGAGCCAGTGTTAGCAACACTCCCGGCTTGAGCCCCGTGAGCTCACCTACACGTCAAGGAGAAGATGAAATAGCCTTTCAAGGCTATCAGCCTAGGTAGGGGAAAAAAAGACTTGTAAAATGAACATTCGTGTTTATTCTAATTTATTTACAATTTGGCATGCACGGGGCTAAAAGGCTGAACCGGAAGAGAGGGTTGCCAAGAGCAAATCTTAAAATTAGCTAACTTAGTTTATGACTTAGTTGTTACCATTACAATCTATATAGGTATGTATATATAAAAATGAATTGCTGTTCGTTAGTCTCGCTAAAACTCGAGAACGGCTGTACCGATTTGGCTAATTTTGGTCTTGAATTATTTGCGGAAGTCCAGAGAAGGTTTAAAAGGTAGATAAATATGAAAAAGAATTATATAAAAATAACAATTTTGTTTTTCCTTTGATGTCCCCCCCGTCGGGCGGATTCCTTTTGTTTGTTTTAAGTTTATTTTATACAAAAGTTTAGGTCTTTTATTTATCGATTGAGGTACTACGAAGCCTGCCGGGTCAGCTAGTCTATACATATAAATAAAATTAGTGTGTCTGTTTGTAATATTGAAGTAGCCGCTTTTTACTACCTGCATATGAATATATATACGGTACATACACCAAAATAAAATTTTTTACAATTTTTTTTGGTTGTCTTTCTGTCTGTCTGTTTGTTCCGGCTAATCTCCGGAACGGCTGGACCGATTTTGACGAGACTTTCGCTGATAGGTAGCTGATGATTTAAAGAGTAACTAAGGCTACTTTTTTTAGACTAGCTTCGCCTCGCGGCGTGACCCGTGGTACGACAATAATCGCGGGTAGCATCGTGGGACTCGGCTATCAATAATAAAATTTAATGTTTCCGAAGCAAAGCGAGGGCGGGTCGACAGTATGTTAATAAACCGTTATTTATGTTTCGTCGTGGCCTAAAGGATAAGACGCCCGGTGCGTTCGTATCGAGCGACGTGGCTGTGCCGAAGTTCGAATCCCGCGGGTAGATACCGATTTTTCTAATTAAATCCGTGCTTGACACACATTCACGAATTACCTCCACGAAGAAAGACTAATGTTTTCATTGCTTTGCTTCACAACTCTGTTTGAAGAAGGGCATGGCATGAGATTTATGGTGGGGATTCCATTAAAGTGTCTGCTTATGGTGAAGTGGTACGGCGATGGTACAAATAAACACACCGATCTCGAAAAAGCCGTTTTCCGATTTCATAACCAAATTTTTAGTCTACGTAGCCCGGAAAATTGAAATTCTATAACCGTGAACCGTGGAATGGAAATTGTGGTCGCCTTCAGGAAATAGGTCGGAGATTAAACTATGTTCACGGCGGATATCTGTTGCGGGACGTACAGAGACATGTACGTATATGTGTAAAGAAAATCTTTAGTATTTAAAAAAAAAACTTTGAAACTTTTTAGTTTTAAAAAGATTTTCCTTAGACGAATTCACTCATCTGTCATTCAGTGAAGAGAGTGGTTCAGTTTTGCATAGTATAATAATACTGTCTAAAATATTAATTTAAATAGAGATTGAGAGCTTTAAATTATGTTTTCTTATTTATATTACAGTAAAAAATTATTATTTTATTGTATTCATTCATTCTGGAGTATTTGATATCATTAAACACATATGCATTACGATTAAATGCGAAAAGGATTGCTAATGTATCCGTAGTTAGCGCTATAACATGTCCTTCAAACGAGGCTTGTGAAGAGTACTTAATGGTAGGCAGCGGCTTGGCTTTGCCCCTGATATTGCTGACGTCCATGGGCGACGCTAACCACTCACTATCAGGTGGGCCATATGGCTCGTCTTGCTACAAGAGTAATAAAAAAAATTTAAGGGCTATAGATGTTTGATGTTTCATCTTGGCCATTCCTATTTAGGGCGTATTTTAGCAGCTTTTAATTATTTTTTATTACTTAATTGGGTGTTGAGCACATCTAGCGGTGATTGGTAACAGGACCTCATGGACATCAACATTACAAAACCCATCATCCATCTTGAGACATGAGTGTTCTAAGTCACAGCTTCCTAGAACAACGTCTTGCTGCAGAAATGGGCAGAGTGTTGGTACATACTCATGCGTGCTCAAAAAATTTTAAGACACCACGCAGTCTTTTAAAAACCCGGTCATTTTGATGTAAAGTCGTTGTGGCCTAAAGGATACATCGCGTCATTTCCCTAGGGGTCGCATTGCATTAGGAAATTGCCTGCATTACCCAACTCGACTAATCCAATACACTTTGGAAAGTTCTTTGACCAATCTTTACGGGTTTACAATTATTAAGCTTGTCGTAGTTTTGACCCGAGGGCGGGTCTCAATGTTGAGTCTTACGTGATTCTGTGTTTTTACGTACCGAACGTTAATTTTTCTGGAGACATTCAGGAATCAACTTTGGTGGAATTGGTTTTGTAATTTATACGTCTATGGGTTCAGGCAACCAATTAATACCAGACAGCTCACTCACCGAGCTAACCCTTTGACTAGCGTGTAGGTCACCGGTGCCCTACGCGGCGCACTGAAGTACATTACGTCGATTTCTGTTACTAAGGCGCCTGGATTGCCTAACTCTTTACCTTCTTTTGATTGTTAATGTATATTTTAGTGTTTTAAATCTCTTAGAAATTGATTCATTCTCAGTATTTTTTTTTTATTGCTGAAATGGGTGGACGTCCTCACAGCCCACCTGAAGTTAAATGGTTACCGGAGCCCATAGACATCCACAACGTAAATGCTCCACTCACCTTGTGATATAAGTTCTAAGTTCTCAGTATAGTTACAACAGCTGCCCTGCCCTTCTTCAAACCGAAACGCATTACTGCTTCACGACAGAAATAGGCAGGGTGGTACCCACCCGTGCGGACTCACAAGAAGTCCTACCACCAGTAATATCTAAATCAGTATCTAGCAGTAGACCAGTATCTTCTGATTCGTCTTTCCCTGATATAGTAGACTGCCACTAAATATTCCGACACCTTAGTAAAGCCAAAGGGTTGAGCAATAAAAAATCAATCTTGACTAGTCATTTATTTCTGTTATCTATCAGCCAATTCTTTCGTTGCCATCGTCTGAATCGATCATGTTTGACTCTCCATTCTCTAATCTCAGATTACGTTGTTGATGTCTATGGACTGTGGTAACGACTTTTTTTAAGGCATTTTATGGCATGGTAACTAAGACTTTTATGTCATGTCTTATTTTAATTTATATTCTTATTTTTATGAAATATTATAATATGAAGTGAAATGAAATGAAGATAATTAATTTGAGACATTAATCAACTGGGGTGAAATTAAATGAAACGAGATGATATGATATGGGATGAAATATAATCTTAGTCAATTGGTGGTTATTTACTGAGATCAGTTGACTTTTTGGAGAAACCCGAGAAGTTACGTTCAGCGGCTTTGTTTCATTTTCCCACATTCGTGCACTTTCACAGATACTAAACAGTTAATAAACCACCGTTATTACACATTTAAACCTGAAGAATCACTAAATAGACAAAATAAAACAAATCACACAACTTCACTCCTCGCATTCCCGCTAAAAAGTCTACGGTATCACACCAGATGGAGTACGCTCCATCTGGTGTGATACCGTAGACTTTTTGGCTTTTAGCTTACGAGCTAGTCCACTCATCTAAACATTAAAAAAAAACTCATTCGCTCATTTTGGTTTCTGTTCGAATTCTTCTATGTACCGATATTTGTCCCTAAATGAAACATCAACCAGAACTTTACGTAACGCGTCATTCACGCACGACATACCGATATGGATGTGACCGACCATTGTGATGCAGATGAGCTGGTCAAGAATAGACGTGAGCTGCGTACAACGATGACGGGCTTGAAGACGTCAAATAAAGTTTTTTTTTATTGCTTAGATGGGTGGATGAGCTCACAGCCCACCTGGTGTTAAATGGTTACTGAAGCCTATAGACATGTACAACGTAAATGCGCCACCCACCTTGAGATATAAGTTCTAAGGTCTCAAGTATAGTTACAACGGCTGCTCTGCTCGACTTCTGCGAGTGCACCATCTCGCAGAAGGAGGCGGCGGGGCGAGTGAGGCAAAGCTCTCCTCACTACGCAGAAACCCGCCGCCGCCGAGCAGGGGGTCGGGACCGGGGTCCCGTCCGTAACCCGGCCCCCTAAGGGCTTCGGGCTCCACCCGCTTTGTGCGGGAAGGAACTTAGGCGTGGGGCGGCGTGGTAGGTCGCGTTCCCCCGACCGCTCCGGGGGAAGGTGTAGCGCGGCGCTATCAATCGGGCTCTTGGCCCGTCGACCGAGGGAACCGGCGGCAACACGACCGCCGGTCCGGCGTCTGGGGGACGGCGGGATGGATGTAATGTGCACTGCGTAAACCCTGTCCCGCCGTCTCAATAGCTCCGACTGGGTTCCCACCCGGTCCGGGGTAGGGCGCCGGCTGTGAGCGGCAGGAGTTTTTAATGAGGTTCGACTCCCACATACCCCACCTGCCTTGCGGGTGGGGATCCGGCGATTTTCTCCTGTGGAAAAAAAAAAGAAAAAAAAACAACGGCTGCTCCACAATTCAAACCGAA